AAAGGAAAGAAAAGAAGGAAAGGAGAGGAGAGGAAGGAAGGAAGGAAGAAGGAAGAAAAAAGTGAAAAGTAGGTACAATCAAGTATCTCCTAAGGAATGGAAGCAGTTGTTGACCAGACACACAAACACCAGACCAATGCAGGTGAGCTCTACTGACTTCACAGAAGCAGACCATTACGATTTTATGTAGACATTGTTGGGGACAATAGGAAAAAAAACATAAGTCCCAGCCCATTTTTAAGCCAGCATAATTCTAATTTCAGACAAAATATTTTAAGAAAAGAATATGAAAGACCATGTTTACCATGAATATAAATTTATAATCTTAAGCAAGTTATTAAAGTAAAGAATATGAAAAAAGATAATTTATTTACCCCAATCAGCTTAGGTTCATACTGGATATGCAAGGATGGTTCAATGTTCTGAAAAATCTATGATGTACTTCACCAATTCATTGACAGATCAAAATAAAATGACAAAGTTTTTCAGCAATGAAGAAAAGTTCATGTGATAGTATTAAATTATTCATAAACATTACTAATTACAATAAAGAGAATAATTAGATGTGACACTTAATTAACATAATCTGAAGAGGGAAACTGTAGAAATAGTCTTTCAATACGAGGAATGAGCTAATGATCCCGACCACTGTGGTCTCTAATCTTCACTACTGTATTCAAATCCCTGTCAAATACAAAAGAAACAGAGGGAGAAATCAGAGGCCAGGGACTGGAGAGAAATCAACTAAGCCTCTGTACGTTGTAGAAGATGTTATTGTTTAAAAATCCCCCAAAGAATCTTTGTAGCCCATAGACAACTCTTAGAGACCACAGAAGGAATACCAGCAGTATAGTAAAGCGGTGTAAGACCTACTGATGAGGGAGCACAGTAGGGGAGCACTGTCTAGCACCCACAAGACTGGATTTGACCCTCTCTCCCACAGTAAAAGGGTTGAAGGGGAGTTAGCTAGCTTAAGAAGTTAATTATAATTCTTTCTCTTTGGCAGCAAACAACAAGAAAGCTTTATTACAAAGAATTTAAAGAGTCAGGACAGGAAGTCTCTAAGCCTTCAAAAGTCTAACAAAACAGGTGCAACATCTCTAAAGGGAAAACCACAAATCCTTGATTTTTCAAACGGCTTAGTAAATGGAAAGACAGACCCTGTTCATGGATAAGAATATTTCATACTGTGAAAATGTCATTCTTCCTAAATTGGTCTGTACACGGATTCAATGAGAATCTTAAGAAAATAAAAATCTGTGAAATTATTTTGCTGTACTTAATAATATGACAAATTTATATACAGGAATAAAAAAAACTAGATCTATTCTCTCTCCTGTTTTAATAAAAGTATTAATTTTCTTTTTATCTGATTGAAAAGATTTAGAAAGACTTGACTGTCCAAACACTGGAATGTTTTCTGAAGCTATAGTAATAGTTTTGGAGCAAGAATAGAAACAAGAAATGAACAAGTAAAATAAATATTCCCATGACTGTAAAGCATGGGAAGGAGCGACCTGCAAGGTCAGGGAGTGAAGGAGGCAATTAATTAATTAGCTAATTAATTTTATTATGTTTAATGTTCAATGGCAGTAGTTTATATAGCCACTGTTGTAATGATGAGCTTTGGCATGTTCTGGAATGCTTGCTATTGTCACATTGCTGCTCATAAACCCTCTTGCCCATGTCTTCTGCACAGGCTGAAGAATTTCTTTCTTTTTAATTTAAAAGTAATAAAATGGTTGCTATAGGAGAAAATAAGAAAGCAGTCTTTTCTCACATACCTTATAAAGAAATCAACCGACTGATGACAGATGTCTAAAAACCAACACTTTCAACTTTTGGTAGGACTAGCAAATATCTATTAGGCCATGGGTAGAGAAAATTTTGTCTGTATTTTGAGACAGGGTTTAATGTAACACAGGTTTGCCTTAAACTTGCTACCTAATCAGGTGGGCCTTGAGCAGTTGACCCTTCTGCCTATACCTCCTGGGCACCAGGATTATAGGTAAGCATTATCAGGCCCAGTTGAGGAAGACTCTTACACAAAATTACAGGCAACACTGACCAGAAAAAAAAAAAAAACAACTTGTATTAAATTCAGGTCTTATTGTCACAAAACACATAAGGAAGTGAAGAAAAAGCTGAGTAAAAAATATTTACAATATTTATTTAGGATTCACAATTCATAATATGGAATAATATTACGATGAACTAACCTTGACAAGGAAAAGCACGAGGAAGAGGAAAGAAAAGCAGAAATATGAAATACGATACAGACATTTCACAGAAGAGGAAACGCAACTAGTTAATAAACACAGAGATATGCTGCCATAGCTCTGTTTAACTAACAAATAGGTTTTTAACGGCATTATGAAATGCTGGAAGTTCTCAGAGCCACAGGGTCCCAGAAAGACTGCTGCTAGAGGAGTATCCTGTGACGACTATGGTGGAAGATGATTGTCATTGTCTCATGAGTGTGGTCCACCCTCGTGTGCACACCAAAGAGAAACTCTCCAGCCAGGCAGAAGACACGGGCAAGGGTTTATGAGCAGCAATGGAACAAAGGCAAGCGTTCCAAGAACATCCCAATGTCCATCATTACAGACGTGGCTATAGGAGCTACTGCATTTGCTTAGTAGAGTAGACAGTGGAATTCAAAACCACACAAACATGAGCAGAGGGTACAAACGAGTCAGTTCCTATTCATGTCAAACAGTGACATGTCTCAAGTGATTGAAACATGCTATATGGGTCAGGCGGAATAGTGTCTGATCTCAAGAACACACATTAGATAGTTAACTGATCCTAAATCATGCTGTAACTACATAGGGAGAATGCAGGGAAGAATGTGGGCATATTTATGGGCAAAGTGTGATAAAGATACATCCCAATTTTCTTCCTTCCTTCTTTTACTCTTAGACAGGACTTCTCTGTGTAGCCCAAGCTGTCCTGGAACTCACTCTGCACACCAGGGTTGGCCTCAAACTCGTAGAATAGAGAGCCACCTGCCTCTGCCTCCTGAGTGCTGGGACTATTGGAATGTGCCCTCACCACCTTGTCTGATAAATCTCAATATTTTATAGTTGAAACTACAGATGGTTATTTGAAATAAAACCCAAGAACATACAAGCATTTTATTTAGAGATACGTATGTAAACACCTGAAGTACCGATCAAGGAGCTAGAGCGGACTGCTTCCAGAGTGGAGCAAGTTGCAGGCATGTGCGGTACACACATTTCAATACACAGTTTTGTACATTATAATAGAGCAGGGTGTGGGGGTCAAGGGATGATGAATACGGTCACTGCCACTTCCACGAATATATGCAAACACGTTTTGATTAATGTGCAAATACATTATACCAAAACACATGACATGTATCACAAAAATATTAAATACATCGGGTAAGAATGCACAGGTACAAACTTACAAAGACAGTCTCCCCATTTGTACCAGATGGATGAGACACAGCTAAGTAGACAGATGGGGCTTCTAGAGAAGACATTCTGGCCCCCTGGGGTGTAGCAGAGCAATAGCAAAATCTGTAAGGCCACGCACAATGCCAAATCTCCTCATTTCAGACTCAGAAAAATAAGGACGAGTAAAACAAAACGAGCTATTATCCTCATAATGCAAAGTGGATTAAGACAAACCTGCAGGTCTCCAGGCCAGAAGGCTTTCTGCCACGGCCCCTAGGAGGTGAAAGGCCAGGGGGTGGACTAACTTTTGGGCTCCTGAGGGCAATCCTGCGATAGGAGCCTGGTACCCAGCTAAGGAAGAGACAGATGCCTTAACTTTCCGTGGGCAAACTCGAGCGAGCCTCATGATGCACCCACCTACCTGTACTGCTCGGGAAATAAGCTCTCGTGTGAGCATGTGTCTGCTCTCCCATCTCCGCTGACTTACACGACTCTCTAAGGACCAGACAAGGCTTATTAAAATCAGACGGGGCAGGATTAGGTGGGTATCGAATTGCCTAATTCTGGGCCTTGCATGAAGCAGAGATACAGCAGCAGTCCTCGGATTGATTGAATGAATGGCGTTATCATTTGTTGCCAGCACCAAGATTAACACTGTCAATATATGCAGTATTTACATAGGGCGTTAGGCTCAAAAGACAGGGAAACAGACATGATGGCAGTGGAGGGGATGGAGACATGTTGATGGGTCTGTAGTTACTACCCTCTTCATGTAAACAATGTTCTATATGCTTTCCTCAATCACTTGGAATGGAATACTTCTGAAAATGATCTAGACTTGCACTAATCAAAGTAGCCCACTAAATGCTGGCACGGTTATCAGCTAGGCGTGGCATAGAAATGCAGGGTTTCAAGCTCAGTCGAGAGATACGGAATTCGAACCTTCACCTTAGTTCCCAGGCGACACATAAACATGTTAAAGGTTCAGAAGCCTTTTCTGCTTTCCTGGCAAAATTGGAACCTTATCATATTTTATCTGGAAAGGAAAGCTCTGCAAATGACCAATAACATCTTGAAAGAAGTAATGATAAGTGAGTTATGATATCCTAAAATAAAGATCAAGAAACATCACCTGGGAGGCAAGATAAGAACAGTAATAGACACTGAATGATCAAAGTGAGAATTATATTTCTTACGTAATAGTATTCATTGCAATCAAATATATTGTGTGTGTGGGGGGGGGGGACGCTGGGTAACTTGGGGCTGCTTAAGGGGAAATCTAGTAGTCTGTCCCAGGCATAAGGCATCAGTTGCTTAGGCCTGTTACCTGATCACGCATTCCCCAACACTGTGCTATCCGTGTTCTCTTCAAAGAAAAATGAAATACAAAAATGTGACCCCATGTAACTGGGCGATGGGCCATAGCAACACCCACTACTGAAAATGAACCAGCGCACAGGAGGAAAGGGGTCTGCCTAAAAGCCTGCACTAACCATGCAAGGACATGAGGCTGCCGTTTATTGGACATGCAGGCTCCACATGGCACACGCCAGAAAATCGACCCCCAGGTGCACTCACCTGGAGGAAAGGCTTGGCTTCCCGCTCTTGCTGCAGCTGGTGTAGATTCCCGGGCCATCGTCGAAGAAGCTCCCGAGTGCCAACTTCTGTCTGATAGACTCTCTCTCATTTTTTTGTGCCTAAAATTTCGAGAGGAAAAAAAAAGAAGTGCTGATCAGTAGGCAGACACATCACACGCATAGGCCGTCCACCTTGGACTGTAACATTAGACAAGAAATCAATGGGCGGCAGTCCAGAGAGGTTTCAATTCTTAAAAGCTGAAATGAAACCAGTCTCTTCTGGCTCCAAGTCCAGTTCTTTGGTGCCTTTTGTGATCTCTAGGTTAGGTGATCACTGTGGTGCCAGTCCATCTCCCTGGGCTAGCTGGAGTTGGTTTGTAACCACCACCTTAGTTACTTTCTAGTCAGGGCTGACCAGCAGTTTCTCCTAAATTCAATCACTCTGGTCCCAAATGAAGCTTGTCCCCAGCTCGTTCCTTCTCTGTCCCTTGTACGTCCCTTTAGCCCACACCCTCGATCACAAGAATAATAACTCATTCAGCCATGCACACTGGGTTCTGTGAACTGGCTGATGTCACAGAGCCTACAAACATGACCAGTGCCACATCTGCCTGGCTTGGGCTTACGGCTTTGCTGGTTATAACTCTCTCTGCCTAGGAGTTTGCCTCCTGTTACCAGAATATGTATGAGCACGGATGTAATGCCTGTGATAGCTGGAGAGCCGTAATTGGCCCCATCGGTCTCATCCTTTTGATTCGAAGCATGCCTAGTAAAAAGACTTGAGCAATCGCTACCGTGATCATTTGGGTATGTTTACAATACTCGGCTTCCTATTAAAAGCCCCATAAAAACTTGCCATGCTGAACTTTTAAGCCCTTTAAACAATGGGGGAGAAGATTAGAAATAATTTCCTTAGTTAAAAAATAGAACTACTACCAAAACAACCAGGAAACCTGAGCTGAGAAGATTTGGGGGTTTCTGTTTCGCGGGATGAAAAAGTTGAGTGGGACCACGAGTCAGATGCTAAACACTGCTCCCACCCCTGCTGGCTACAGGACTTGGGGGTGCCAGTGTTCTTCCTAGAGATGGTTCTAGGGTCCCATCTGTGCACCCCTGTGTCACAGAGATGAGCTGGACCTCCAGTTGGAAGGATGGGCTGACGCATGACTCACTTCACTCCCACGTGAGAGGCAGAAGGCAGCTAGGGTCGCTCTGTCTTAAGCACACGCAGGTCACGTGTGGCTGTCTGCATTTCAATCTAACAATTGGTTAATTAAAATTTAAATTCAGCTCCTTAGTCAATCTGGCCTCATTTCAGGAGCTCAAAAGCCATGGGGATGAGTATTGGATATCATATTGCACAGCACTATAAAATGTGACAATGTAGTATTCTGTAGCGGTTCCCACATCCTGGCTTCAGCAAGCAATGTTAGAATGAACTAGGGCTTTTAAAAGACACGCCCTGGGGTGCTGGATCCAGACACTTAATTTCAGAAGGTTTGAAAATTTGTAACCCAAAGAGAGCTCACCTCTCCTCTCCTGTTCTCCAACACTTTAATTCTTGAACCCCCAAAGCATTCTTCTAACAGACACTCAGCAATGCCATCTATCTCGGCATCAGCCCCGCCCCCCATTTTGGCACATACCAAGATACTATGTAATACCAGGAGCATGTATGTGTGTGTGCAATACATGTGCATGCACACACAATATAGCCACAAAGTGTTTCCATACAGGTATTTCTTACAAGGAAGATGCTGATTTCATTCTGCTTGTTGCCCTGCTCCAACACCGAGCGCTAAGAAAGTCACCATGAGACTGTCAAGGGAAGCAGGAATGCCTTTTATTTGACTAGCCACTCACAACTGTAGATCTAGCACCCCCATCAAGGCTTACTGCCTTCTCAAATACAGACCAGCCTGTGACACACACTCCCAACCATCTGCATTTAGTAAAATTTAGCTTAAGTCAGTGAGCCTGTGTCTCAACCACAGTCCTCAGCAGCCAGGAAACTATTAAGAAGAAAAACCAAGAGGTATTGTAATAGTCAACACCTTGCTGGTCCAAAATCAGTCTGCTTTCTTGTCCGTCCTTTCTGGAATACACAATGCTACAGACATTGCCACTGGAGGGGGAGGGGGTACAAAAACATATTCCTCCTGTTTCCCTTTCTGGATCTCACTGAACAAAATAAAGCAAACAGAGGGAATACAAATGTTAACGATAATGCTGTTACTTAGATCATTGCTAACAGTTGGTGGTATATTTCCTCCTTGTCTTTAAAAATTTTGGGGCGTATACTGAAGACTTCCCATATAACACTTCACGCTCTTTGAAAACACACTTTCAAATGATTGCTCACCCATCCCCCCCCCCCCCCCCATGGAGTTTCCCTCTACAGTTAGCCACTTGGGATTGTGTCAAATTAAAAATAACATCTTTCCATAAATCCCTGCCCACATGTCTGATGATTTCCCAGGGATAAGTTCCTGGAAGTGGGACTGCCAGATCAGCTGTGTGTGAACATTTGTCGAAGCTCCTGACACATCTCGTCACACTGCTCCAAAGAAAAGCTGCTCCAGTTCACATGCCCACCAGCAATGCGAAGTGGGCTTCTGTTGCGTGCGGGCTAGCATGCAACGCTTGCCGTTGCTTTTAGTTTGATAGGCATTGGCATCCTGTTTGCTTCAATTCCTTCCATTTATCAGTGAGAATAAATGTTGAAGTGTTTGTGTGATTGCATTTTTTTCCTCTGAATTACTTATTCCTAGATTTGTTTATTTTTCTACAGTGATCTCAGAGTTTAAAATCTGCTGTATTATGGAAATTTGTCCTTTTGACTTTTAGCTGTGATTTGCGGTTAAGCCAATGGTTTGCTTCCTCTGCCACACCGCTGGTGGCTTTTGTGCATGGAAGGTTCTTCTCATTCAGACTGGGAAATGACCTCCATAGATGGCAGAGCGTTAACTGAGAGAGTTCTCAGCAGCTGGCTGGTGGCAAGATGGCCCCTGATACATAGTAACGTAATGATTAATCCTCCAATAACTTCCATTTAGAAGATGAGAAACTGTGGGTAACAAAAGGTTGCTCTATTGTTAGGGAGAAGATCTAGGGTTTGAAAGTATGCTTCCTGGTTCCAGATCTTTCTTCTCTTCTACAAGGGAAGAAAAGTGTGTGGGCTAATGGTAGTAGTGGGCACTGTGGTGAAGACACACGGTGAGACTAGAGTTAAATAGATTAATTTCTTCTCTGACCTGGATGTGAATCCTTCCCAGAAACGCACAGAACACTGGATTGCAGGGCATCTATTACCAAGAACCAACTGTAAATAGAGATGTTTACAAACACCTTCCCAGCCATTCTTCTCACCGCCACAGGTCAGCCCTTTCTGGAACACCTGATTCCAAGTGTTTCAAGTACACCAATACCACTTACTAGCAAAGCCAGAATCTTCTACCCTCTGAGGAATTCTATCCATAGCCCAGTTGTATCTCACGACTCCCAGAGACCGGAGATGCCCCAGGTTGAAGCTATCAGAGAACGAGAGAAGCTAACACAAAATGACACTGTCTGGATGCACTATGGCCAGCAGGGCCACGTCTGCTACCAAAAAGCCTTGGGAAACACCCTCATAAAACAACATTTAAATGTCTAAAATGGATCTTGTTAGCAAGAAGCCAAAGAGCAGCTGAGGAACAGTGGCTCATGACCACAAGATAGAAAAGCTGTTCAAAACCAAGATGGAAGTGAAACCACCTTTAAATGTTAACCCTTCATCAGCCTCAGGCAGTTTTGTCCCTGGCTGTAACTTCATTCCTTACTGCCACACACTGGGTCTGGGCAGGGAAGACTTACAATGGCCTTCACGTGTGTCGTGCAAGCTACAGGGGTCTCACACAGCACTTAGACTCCTTTCTCGGTGTGAAATAGATCTACCACAATTCTCTAAGTGTGGGAGGAAGAGCACTTCCTAAAGGAAATAACAGAACGCTCTGCTAGGGTAGACGTTATCTACTCGAAACTCAGCGGTCTCCAGATCTTTTCTACGCTGTTTTCAGGGCACAGCGTGAACCCATCCCTCATAGTAACAAAACTATATCATTCCTGCATTCTCTCCTAGGTTCCTCCTTATATGAATTCTTTGTTATACACACACAACCTCTGCCTAAAAATCCCAGGACCTAGTGGGCAGGAGCCGCACAGAAATGCTGTGGAAATGCCTGCACTAGAGAAGGACTCAGTGCTAAAGAGTGCTGACGGTCCGTGAGCCTTGACTGCCCTTTCTCCATCTCCTATGCGCTACAAACAGAAAGAATCTCTAGCAAAAGCAATGCTGTAAATTCGGCGGCTTTCCCTATCAACTCCTTCCACCGTGTTTGAGATTCAAGCCTCAAGGGTTGGGAGGGGGACATCTGTCTGGACAACCTGTATTGCATTAAGTATGACAAATAAAGAATATGAGACTCTATGCAAACTCTGCACTACTTTATATTGGAGACGTGAACTTGAGTTTGCTCTGTGTGTGAGAGTGGTGGTATTAGAAGCAATGCCCCACGGATACTTATGACATGGCTAGCAAGGACAATGGTGTTCACAGAGGAAGAACTTCCTAAGCAAGAACACAGGCTGCATCATCTCAGGAGCCACTGGTCTCCCTTGCCCTGTGGGAGTCAGGGTTCCAGGAGCTGCTGAGATATCGGTATGCTGAGTGGAGACGCCGCATGTGTGCACACACACAAGCGCTCTCTGTAGGTGACATGTTTTTCTCAGTCAGTAATTCCCTAACTCGAATGTGCGTGGCAGCCACCCAGAGGGCTTGTGAAAGCACAGACTACGCTTCTGCTTCAGGCCTGGGCTGGAGCTGAGACGGTGCACGCCTAACAAGCTTCCAGATGCTGCTGTTCTAGGCGCCGTGCTGATTCCCCTTCCCCCATGCCCACATGTTCCATGCAGCATGTCCAGCCTCTGTAGCTAGGGCCACGTGATCTGCAGCAGGCTGGCCTCCCCCAAGGCCCCGTGAAGATGCCTGTTGGAAGCCATTAAGGATCTTCTTGCCTGAGTGCCATCTATCACCTTGCGGTACCTGGTTCATCACCATTAGCAGCATCCACCAGGGAAGC